AGTGTGAACTATATCCAGTTGGATTTTATGATTGCTATGATAAAAACTATCAGATTATACCTGCAGGTGTGATGATAGTTTTGTTCTTTGTTGTGGATTTCCATTAAATAAAATGTGTTGGAAATATTTTCTGTTGACTGCCAAGTGTGACAGATATTTCTTACATGTATGAACTGATTATGGACCAAAAATCAACTGTCCAGGTCAATGCATTGACTAAGAAAACTCATGGATGTCTCCTTCTCTGGTACTTTCCTTTCTCCCCGCGCCCTGTAAACATAGAGAACCTTCTGCTTCTTTCTTGACTGGCTCTCTCACCAAATTATTCCCATTCATTAATCCTCATTATTTCTATAATTCTGTTCTCACGATCTTATTTCTCGTTTGCTTAATACTGTAAAATGTGCAAACATTCACTTTAATTTAGTTTAATTTAAGCAGTTAATACTTTGCTCCATCTGTGTGTTATTAGGGTTAGTTGATTAATTAATTTCTTTTTTTCTTTTCAATCTTCAAGGTTCTTGATTGCGTCAAAGTAAATGGCATCTAGGAGAAATTTACGGTACAGTCAGCTTCCTGGTGATGAAGATGGTCAATATGATGTTAACAGTAGAGGGAGAAAATATGACCCTCGTTTTGATTACACCCCAAAGTCACTCGATAGAATCCCATGGAAATCCATTGCCCTTGCAGTTTTCTTGCTTGTTCTTGGATGTTTTCTCCTCTTCCTTTCCTTCTTCATCTTTACTGGTCACATGGGTGGAGAAAACTCTCAGGCTTCTGGACTTCTAGCCCTTGGAATTCTCACGTTTCTTCCAGGTATGTTGGTTCACGAGTTCCTGTTGCTATAGTTAAATCTTTTTATTCATTTCCTGAATTGCATTTTTTTTCTTCCACCCGCTGAATAATGGATTTATTAGGTTGGCCTTTTGGATGGTCATGACTTTGAAACCCCTTTTAATAAGGATAGTTCCCGCGTTTGTGAATTGTGAGGTTAATTAGTGAGACTTAAGAGAAGGAATCTAAAAATGGAGTTGGTAGCACGGAAAATGAGAACGGTAGGAGAGCTGTCATACACAAAGTGATTTAGCATTTGGCTGACTGTACAAATAAAGTTGTTGGCAACTTGAGGAAAAGAATTCACAGAAAAGTTTTCTTTCAAACTTTAGCTTTAGAAGGCAAGAACTTTCATGAGATTGAAACGTGGTTGTGAAGATTTCCAGTAGCAAGTACTATTGTTACCATTTAGGTTATTAGGAAGTTGGCAGGGAACAGAAATGAGTATTATTTGGTTTGTAGAAATATCTGGGCCTTGGAGGAGCTCTTGTGCATTACATATACATTTAAGTGATAGAATGCATAACCTTTTCTGTTACTCATGGAACTCAATTTGAGTCTAGAATATTTGATTTCCTTGACCTGATATTCTCATTATCTGGACCCTAATAACATTGGTTCTTTTAGGATATTTTACCGTTTTATAAGTTACTTCTTTTTTTACTTTTCTATATATGAATACTGGAATCTTAGGTAGCACAAATTTTTACTTTTGATGCCGTGGACTAACAATATCCAGATAAAATAAATCATTGGTTGAGATATTTGGGCATTTCTGAAAGCATTCTTGATTCTGCTTTTTGGGTTTATAGCTCTCAGATTTTCACTTGTTCGGTGCATAGTGCATACTCCATGTTTGACAGTTTTAACATCTTTATTTAGTACTTATAAATGATAAATCTGCAGAAGGAGATCACTTTTTGTTTTCTTTTTTAATTTGAAAAAACTTAGTAGAAAAGGAAACTGATTGGGGAAAGTTCACTGGTTTAAAATTCATGGTTGTAGGTTTTTATGAGACTCGGATAGCATATTATTCATGGAGAGGTGCTGCAGGATATCACTTTGCTTCGATTCCTTCTTACTGATGCATTTGCCTTCATTATGTTATTCTGATATAGGGTTTACCAATTTTGTGTAGAACACATCAGTTCTCACTCAAAGTTGGATAGAACTGGGGAACTTTTTGACTGGGAATTTTAAGGAGAATCATAGAATGTATTAGTTATGTGGAACTTTTACTGAGAGACCTGAAACATCTGTATAGAAAATCATGTCTCTATAAATTGGTTGTTCTTTCAAGCATAAGCATCTTGCATTTTCTTATAATGGATCAGGACCTTGATAATGCCAACCGCAACACCGGCGAATAAACATCTGTGTGTGTTTTGAATGGAATGTTTTTTGGTTTTAAAAGAATTTCATTAACAAAATTGGTAATCAAAATTAAGAATTAATATATCTAATGATTATTATAATTATTATTATACTATATCAGTAAGAGTTATATATAAAAAGATTAAAAAAAAAAATAGTAGTAATTCAGCTAACGGAGTGATGATTTAGCTTTTTCTGAAGAGTTATCAAATGTTGTATGAGCATCTTATTTTTTTAATAGAAATGGATGATGAAGCATAGAGTGTATCCCATCTAGAAAATCTTCAATATTTAATTTCATAATCACATTAAAGAAGTTTTATTTTAATTATTACATTTTTTTTGTTTTAATTTGATCGCGGAGATGTTGCCAGTCGCATAGGCATTGTATCTAACTTTGTTGCTTAATAATAATGATAATAATAATAATAATAATAAAAATGTGTTTATATATAATAATAATTAAAAGATTTAAATTAAAATTACTTGCCTAAAATTATTATTATTATATGTTATATACGTAATTTTGATAAAAGCTTAAATACGTGGGGCATTATAGTTTGAAATCAATCCAATATCCAATTTAAGTTAGATATATATGTGATTTCTCCACCAAGTAAAAATACAACCGTATTATAATGGAGCTGAAGTATGAACAAAGTGAGATAAATTATGTGAAATTTGTTCAAATTATGATTAAATTATACATCTCAAATATTTAAGATTTATGAATTGCGTGGGAACAGAACAGAACAGAGTTAAAATATATATATATAGCATGCATGAGAAGTAAGTTTCCCCAATATGCGGCAAAAATGGAAAGAAGTCCATGTGGGAAGCCCACTCTTGATCTTATTATTAATAGGAGATGATATCAGCATTGATGGACTGTAATATTTCAAATTTTATTACTCTTGAAGTTAAATTATTTATATTTTTATTATTAACACCAAAGTTTGTGTTGGTGATCATATAATAATCAATTGTATAGGGATTTGGCCATGACAAACAATATAATATTACTTATAAAATTTAAAAAAAAAATAAAATTGAATAATTGTTTTTTACTAGGAATTTAAATAATTAGGAGCATGCACGTTCCCCACTTCTAATATCAATGATGCATTACACCAACTTCAAAATATGCCTTCCTTGCTTTCAAAATCTTGATAGAGCAAGAAGAAGTCCCCTTACGTACAATTTTATAATTTTATGTGCAATACGTGTCATATACATATACATATACATATATGTATACATGTATTGTAACCTACCTTATAATGGGAAAGTGGAACACATACCATCCACACATTTTGAGAATGGGTATAATTATATTAGTATTAGAAAAAAAAAAAAAAAAAAAAAAAGTAAAGCATATAAACTTGTGAATAATTTATAACATCAACACTTAATTATTAAAAAAAAACCACAATACTTATATAATTCGTAGTATAAATCTTTAACGAGAGCCTTCTAAGGTCTATCATTATGGATAAGAATAAATTTAATTAATTTGTGATTTATTGTTGGAAGGTGGCTGGCTAGTCAGGTTCTTGATAATAATTATGGTTAATTAATTAATTTATTGAACTAAAATAATTATATTTGAATAAAATAAAGAAGAAAAACACCAAATTCCAATGACATCATAAATTATGTACGTACATACATACATATATATAGGTTTTTGAAGCATCTTGGTAATCTCCTAGGAATGGGTCAAACACATAAGTTGATTTTATTTACTTGTAAATAATAATAATAATAATAAACCTACTTCCACTCAGCTTCCATGTGATTTTGCCTTGATAACTCGAACATGCACCAGGCCATAACCTGTAACTTCTGCACTCACATTCATCCTGTGAATTCTACTTTTTCAGATTTCTTTCTTTCTTTCTTTATTATTATTATTATTATTATTAGTTTTTCTAAAAAGTCAATTAACTATAATAATATTTAAAAGTGACTACTTTTTATTTTTTTTAAAAAATACATTTTGTACTCTTATCTAAATGTAATAATTCAATTCAATTCAATTTTAACAAAACGTTTAGAATTTTATAATTTATTTAAAATTCAAAATAAAAAATGAAAAGATATTGAATTTCATTACTTTAATTAAACAAGTACAAATTTTTATCATTCCGCAACTTCTACAGTGTTTCTCGTAAGTTGCAGGACATAATATCATCATGAAGGAAAATGAAATGTTGACTCTTATTTTATTGTCATTCCCCCCCAACTTTTGACTCTGTACGTTTTGAATTTTGATTGCTTCGATTCATCATTATTTTTTATAATTTGGAATTTCTGTGCGAAAAAGAAATTGCACGTCTACATAACATATATATATATATGAATAAATATATTGTACAGTTGTAAGTAATGAGGACATTACCACAAAACAATATTGTAGTAAATATTTCTTTTACTGAATCCAAACTTCTAAAATAGTAATATGCACACAAAAATTTGTGCAAAATTGAGTTTACCATAATTCAGCATTACATGATTTGATTTTCTTTATTTTAAATAAATATATTAAATCTTCAAGAATATATAATCTATCCATATAAATATTTCTAAAGTTAAATAAATTATAAAATTTTCAAAAAAAAAAAAAAAAAAAAGAATTACAAAATACTAATATAAACGAATTAATAATTTTATCAAAGCTAATTACCAAAAAATTATTTTTTAAAAAAATTTAATTAACAATACAACTGTAAATTATGCAATAAAACGACAAAAAACAAATGGCGATGAGGAAGTTGCGGGTTGCGAGAGGCACGAAAACACGTGGGAGCTTTTAAAAAGAGAAGGGAAAGGAGAGATAAAACGATGACGTTTTAAAAAGGAAAAAGTGGAAAGTAGAGAGAAGACGACGACGTTTTAAGCCAAAAATAACAAGGACGATGACGCGGCAGGGAGACAAAAAGGGACAACAGGATTCCTGCGTGCGAAGTAAGTCTGCTAAATTTAAGACGGCGAAGCAGATGGTGAGACACTGATGGAGATGAGTTATCTATACCAGAATATTACGAGCAGTTCTCTTCTCTCTCCTCTGTCAATTATAATTACTAACTATTTCAATTTAAGTAATTAATTAAGAGTACCGATTTTTCCAAACCGTAATTGTAACAAAATCCAATCTTTTCTTCTTCTTAGTCATTGCTCTCTTTCTTTTTTTCCTTTCTCCACGTCTATCCTCTCAGGCATTCATGGGTTTTTATCACAGAGGATTCTCTTAGAAACCCAACAATTACAACAGGGGAATTCTAGTTTCCGACTTTCCATGCCCGGATCCGACTTTTAAGGACCCACTATATATACGTATATATATAATAGATAGCTAGATTATATTGCTCCTTCCTCCCCTCTCTGTGCTGTCCTTTTCCGGGCTTTTATTGATTTTGTTGCGGAGAGTGGGAGATCCGATTTGCAGATACACAGACTTATATTTCATCTTCAGGTTCGGATTCATCGTTTTTTCCCTCTTCTTTTTTCTTTTCTTTTCTTTTTTTTTGTTTTTGTTTTCCTGTTCAGTTTTGAGGTTTTCATGTTTTATTACCGATTTACTTCCCTTAGTATTTCTGGGCTTTTGTTTAACTTTTCAATCATGCAATGCACTGTTGATTTCCTATCATTCAAATGCATAACCTCTGGTTCTCTCTTGCTTGTGTTGAATTCCTGTCTCTGTTGATTTTATTGATTCTTTTTCTTTTTTCCGCGAATGGATTCGTGTTTGGAGCTTTTTCATAAAGTTCTTTTTTTCTTTTTAATAATAAAGCTCTGTTTTTCGTAGTGAGAGAAGAATAATAAAACTTTGTTTGGATAATCTTGATTATCTTTTTGCTTCAAAATCTGACCCCTTTTATCAAAACTATTTTTGTTCTTTTAACAGGTATCTTTTAAAAAAAAAAAAATAAATAGAAGAGCTATTCACATGCCATGAATATAAATTAATCTTTATCATCTTCGTTTCTTGTCTTCTTTTTGTCAGTGTAGTTCTCTATGAATTATGGACTGTGATTTGAGCATTTTCTTGTTTCTCTTTGATGTGGACATATATGTATGCATGCTTATTTATTCATATATGCCTACAAATATCATTTAATTTCATTAAATCCTGTTCATAATTTTGTCTGTTTACATCATTGGGATGCGGACCCTTTAGCGTTATTTTCTCTTTACTTTCCCACTTTTTTATTTTTCCTCTCAAGGTGAAAATAAGCTTCTTTGCAAAAGAGAAGAGAGGGCTCTCTTCATTTCTTTCTCTCTTCCCTTCCAAAAAGTTATTTTCTTTTCAAGGAGCAAGGTTCCTTTTTCTTAATATGTAATTTTATTTTATTATTTGGAAAATTTTCTTTCTTACAGCTTTTACTTTCGTTTCTATTTACTTGTTGAATATGTTATGATATGTCTTGGCAAGAATATTACAATGACCATTAAGGAGACTGGTCCAGTTTCCTTTCTCCGGTTTACGTCATGTATCTGGATGTACATTGCAAGTTTGAGTCTTGATTAACATATGTTTTGTTTATTAGCTTGCTTGGAGGGTGGACTTTTGTTTTGTTATCTTTCCAAATTCTTATTGTGAATCATTGTTCATATAATTCGTTTCTTAATGCTCAATACATGCTTACATCTTAATTTTGGCCATCTTTTGATTGAAAGAAAACCATATTTCTTTTTTGTCAAAATCTTGTATTCTACAGTTATGGGGAGTTGTGTCTCTACACACTCAAAAAGAATCAAGCCACGTAAAAAATGCCGCCACAGATCCACCAAACGCCTTGGGAAGGCTTCCAGTTGTGTCTCTGATGGAACCAAGAGAAGGGTTAGTGATGCTGGAAGTCGTGTGACGGATATCTCTGTCAGTGAGTTTGTACACATGGACTTTGAGAAAGGTGCAACCACTGCTTGCAGAAGATCTGAAGTTTCAAACACAACATTCCATCTCACTCAATTGCAGTGGTACCTTAGTCAAGTTGAACAAAATGGTATGCAGTTTTTATTACAACATAACTAGTAGATCAGTTTGCAATTTTATGTTGATGTTATAGATTACAGCTATGGGATAAATTGTATTGCCTTGTTAAATTTTTCTGGATTCAGAATCTAAGTCAAGACAAAAGAATAAGAAAGAAAGTTGCATTCTCGCAATTTCTACCCATATCTATATATACTATGTATTATATGGCCGAAAAGAACTGGAATTCACTTCTACAGTCTCTCCTTGCAGTTATCTGCCAGGAAGATGCTTGGTTTGATTCTGTCAGTATTCTGGAATCTGACTCAGATGACGATTTCATCAGTGTGAGTGGAGGTAATGAGAACAACTTCTACTGGATGGTATATTCTATGTTTGTAAGATGAAACGATTGTTCCTGTCGAGGAAAATAAGTATGCAATTTGCCAAAATACAACCCTTACGCTCATTCTAGATGTTTCCAAAGAGATGCTGAACTAAAGAATGGCTGATGGATGTGATATTTGGCGATTATTTTCTCCTTCTGCTGAATTGTTGGCCCTGCTGCTAATTGGCAAGCACAATACTTACATATATGTATATGGAAAGCATATTTTGGACTTTGCCAGCCTGATTATGCTATGAAGCTGATAAACAGTAGGCCCTTTAGCTGTTTTTGTTATGCCATGAAGCAGTTAAAATAATAAGCCGTTCAGCAGTTTTCTTTAATTCTAGATGAGTGAAATTTTTTTGTTTTATTTATCAGTAAATTCTGACTCACGTTGTCTTTGATTTTTAATTTTCTTTTCCCTCTTTATGTTAGATGGTTTTCCAATAATGGGTAACCCAGTTGGAAACATCTCGAGTGGTCAAGTGCTTCAGTATGAAACCTCTTCGCGCATTGTGGATGGAAAAGGTAAATATGAAGAATACCATGAAAGTTACCTGAAAATAGATGGAGGTAAAACAGAAAATTTTTTTAGCAAAGATGGATTCAAGGAACCAAATGCATTTTCACTCATTACCACTCAAGGTTATGAGCTTTCGCGCTTGGGGAAGGCCGATCAAGCTTGCAACAACAGGAAGAAAGTTTTAGATCACTCTTATGGAAGCTTTAAAGGTGTAAAAGAGGATAGATGTGATTCTGAAGAGAAAGCTGTGAGATCTAGCTTAAGCCGGTTAATGCCTTCTCTAAGTTTCAACGACAAGGTTCTAAATTCACCTAGGGGACCACAATCTCAAAGAAAGAAGTCAGCAGTTTACAGGCTTTCATTTAAGAGGAGATCATGTGATGGGGAAGAAACCATAGAACATTGTATGTATTCAATTCTTTCATCTTCTTGTCGACAGTTTAATGGAGTTTCTTTTTATCCTTGTTGATGTATATCACATTGCTCTTCAGGTCTTGATTATTCTTGGGAAACTGTTTTTTCGTATTGCAGGTTCATCAAAGAGATTTCTGTATCGTCCCAGAGCAGGATTTATAATTCCACGTTGCACGGTGGAGAAACCAACTCCAGGATGTTGGTGCGAGATTCCACCGTCTACTTTTAAACTCCGCGGCGAAACTTATTTCAAGTATGCCTCCTGCAATTGTTTCACAACAAGCAGCTTTTATCTTATCAGTTTATCTTCTTTGTCACGGATGTAATTGCAAAATGATCTGCTGTGTAGAGATAAGCGAAAGTCCCCTGCTCCAAGTTGCAGTCCTTATACTCCAATTGGTGTTGATTTATTTGTCTGCCCAAGAAAGATAAATCACATTGCCCAGCATCTTGAGCTTCCAAATGTCAAAGCTGATACAAAAGTTCCTCCTCTTCTAATTGTCAACATACAGGTAATGTGAACTTGTCTTGTAGGAACTGCAAGTTCTTCAAGTGAATTATTAAAAATAAAAGCTTATGAGTAGCATATTCTCATGCTATGTCCTCTCATGTTCTCACAGTTGCCCACTTATCCTGCCGCAATGTTTCTTGGCGATAGTGATGGTGAAGGGATGAGTCTTGTCCTTTATTTCAAAGTTTCTGAAAATTTTGAAACAGATATCTCTGTGCAGTATCAAGAGAGCATCAAGGTAATGCCATTTTGAATTTACCTACTTCTAGTTGAATTAGAGGCTTTGTTTTAAGTCTATATTATGGTGACTGTTTTAAACTTCTACTATAAGCCTGTAATAGAGACTATTGCTTGGATGAGTGATTGAGTTATTATGTAAATATGGATTAGATTGTTAGGTTACTGCTTCAATAATCAGATTAATGGCACAAAATTCACTCATAGAAGTGAAGTTCATGTTACTTTATCTCTTTTTTTCTTGACGAACTTATTGAGACACCCGAGAGTAGTGACTCAGTTGTCATCTCTTCTGCCTTGTTCCGTCTCACTGGAATTTTCTCTTTCTACAGAAATTGATCAACGATGAGATGGAAAAGGTCAAAGGCTTTGCAAAAGATTCCACTGTTCCTTTCAGAGAAAGACTAAAGATCATGGCTGGGGTGGTGAATCCAGAAGATCTAAATTTGAGCTCTGCTGAAAAGAAGCTTGTAAATGCCTATAATGAAAAACCAGTTCTTTCGCGTCCTCAACATAACTTCTATAAGGTAAAGCTCAAACTTGATGATAAGTTAAGCATCCTACATGTTTAAACCTCTGAATTCGAAATTGTTTTGGTCTGTAGCTTGGAAGATAAGAGATCTGTCTTGATCTTATGTTCTTAGTTCGTTACCTTTCTTGGTTAAGTTAATCAGTCGAACAGACTTTTGTGATTGTCATTTTTGTTATAAGATGCTGCTGGGTAAATAGCTATCTCTCTCTCTCTCATATGCAGGGCCCTAATTACTTTGAGATTGATTTGGACATTCACCGCTTCAGCTATATATCAAGGAAGGGACTTGAATCATTTAGAGATCGCTTGAAAAACGGAGTTCTTGATCTTGGCTTAACCATCCAGGTAAAGCACCAGCATCCGTGCCTATCATTTGAAATAATGTTGTAAGTTTTAGGCGGAAAGATTTTCTTTTTTGTCCCTATGAAACATGTTGGTCTTATAAATAAAAGAAAAGCTTAATAATTATGATATCTGGAGAGTTAGTGCGGAATTCATTTCTGTTTCTGCATAACGAGGATTTTTAATAACCAATTATGTATGCCAAGCAAGAATAATTCTAGTCTGATTCTTCATCCTCTTCACTAATCCATGGTTGAACCCACCCCTTTTCACATCTATTGTTAACAGGCTCAAAAGCCGGAAGAACTGCCGGAGCAAGTGCTTTGCTGTCTGAGACTGAACAAGATTGGTTTTGTGGATGAAGGGCAAATGCCCACACTTATGGTCCTAGATGATGACTGAAATGTATGTATATGCATGTATTGATGTGATGGAGGATCCAGAGTCAAGACCCTCTTTGTTTACCGAATCTGACCTTGCTGTAACTTAAATTGAAAAGAAAAGAAAAACAAAGAGAGAAAGAGAGAAATTCTTTTGTCCCCTAAATATTATGAATGAAATGTTTGTTTATCACTTAAAAATAACAATGTATATGTAATATTATCAAGCTATATACTATAAAGTTAATAAGGGTAAAATTTTCTTTTGGACCATCCTGGATGCAACAGTCGAAGGATTTGCAAACATGTTATTTTGATAATCTCTGCATAAAATCTTTGTTCGGAAAGAAGTTCAATGTGCTCATTGTTATCATATTTGGAGAGAAACAAGTTTAAAGAGTCAAGGGACCAATTAGATTGACTTGACTTTTTGTATTTTCATCCCAAAATTATATTCTGATTAGTATATATATATATATATATATATATATATTATTTAATTATTAAAATGTATTAATTTTAATTTAAAAAAATATTTAATTTGAAATGAAAAAATAGAAAAGAAGAGACAGCAGAGTAAATATTTAGGAAGGCAAGGGGCAAAGATTGGAGATGAAAGTAGGGTTAATGCGTGGGGTGTATGCTATATATAAGAAAAGGAGAGGCACGAAGGAAACCGAAGCAAGCGCCTTAGGCCGAGCGCTTACCTCTGGAGCGAGAGGTGGCGTGGTATTCCACGGAGAGAGGTTCCAGTGTGGCGCACCGAATGGTGGTGTGATAGGCGTACATTATACATTTTGGGATTCCATGGCCGCTCTGCAACTCTATTCTTTGCTGCCAAAGCGACCGGATTTCCCTACATTTTTCTTTTACTTTTCTTTGCTCAAATCAATTCCTTCTATATATCTTCCTTCCTCTTTTTCTTCCCTTCAATTTTTCTTCTAGTTTTCAGGGCTTTTAGAAATACGAGTCATGTTTTCCCAAGCTTCTTAGTTATGTTTTACACTGAATTTATTTCTTTCACGAATGTTAAAAATGTGTCTATATTCAAGAAGCTAAAAAGGTGAGTTTTTTGTTTTCTGAATATGACGGGAAATGGGTAATGGAAAGTGATGATCTTTTTTAGTTGCTGCCATTTTAGATTTAATTTCCAAGTGAAAGAAAAAAGAAAAAAAAAACGGAAAAAAGAATTAAACTATTTCTGTTCTAAATTCAGTGATTATATGAGCCCATACTTTTTCTGCTTGGGCTGAAAAACAAAAGCGTGCCAATGCTGTACATTAAAAAGTGATATATGAAGAAACAGGCTCTGAATCAAATGAATCAATAAATTTGTTGGCCAGTGTTGTTGTCTCTACCAATTCTATGCAGGCACTGTATGCTTAAACCCATCATCTTGTTCTGCAAAAACACCAAATTTAAAACATCTCAGTAATTTTCTACCCAAAGTTGTTACTGCCAATTGATTTATCAGCAAATTTCATCCGTAAGAAAGCTTCTTGTACCTCTTCACTCTCACTTCATGGTCTCCGAGCTGCTCGACGTATGTTGGTTTCATTCTTTTGCAAGATTTGATCGATTCTATGAGCTTCAGATAGTAGTGGCCCTGATGTTGTTTTGTTCTTGTAATCCTAATTGATTATGAAAATCACAATAAGATTAAAAGGAAAAAAAATAACTAGCTGCATTAATCACTTGTTTCTTTCTCTTTTCCAAATACCATTTGGCCAGAAAATGGTTCTAAAAATGTCAAAAAGAACAAACAGGTCACAATTCTCTGTTCTCTTCCCCTAAGATCAGCTTCTAAACGAGTTCAAACAAGGGATGTTGACGGAGTTTGGTATCAAGATTGGAGTTATTTATAAATGTAAATTTCCTCGGATCACTTACCAGATGGTTTGTTGGAGAGATTTCTTTCTGAGAAAAGTATAAACTAGATGCTGGTAAAGAATCTTGCTCATCAAAAAGGTTTTGCCTCATTAGTGTTGAACCTGTGGTGATCTTGTATAACTCACGCCCAAGGTTCTCGGTATGAGTCCTATGTAAAGTATTGTCAGTCTCTTTACTTGTCAACCTGAAAGTATTATTTGCAAAGATCATGCTTGATGCACTAATTTTGCTCATTGAGCTGGGTTGATTGTATGTTAATGTAGATATTGCATCGTCTTTTCGCTTTTTCCCCCAAGTGAAGCCGCTTGGTGCTGTGGTTTGTGATAGGCCTGTGTAGAGATAATCCCCTTGAGTGCTAGCCGTCCCTTGTGTCGTCTCCGACATGGTATCAGACATTAATGTATTTAATGCTCCTCTACTTATCTCGCTATCTCGTCCCTTATGAATAGGTGCATTACCACCATTATTTCTATGAGAAACTCCAGTATTCTCTTGCATTTCCTGGGAAAATTAACAAGGAACAAGATCCAATGTGAACTACATAACAGCAAACAATACTTAGAAAACATATGTTCATGCAGAGAGATGTTCTTTATTAATCCTTTTTTGTATACCCGCTAAATCAATTAATGAGTCAAAGTTTTGATGTTAGCCCATTAACTCAAACCTCACTTCATCTGAATCTAACCTAAGTGAGAAGGAGGAAGTACCTCATTTG